TCTTGGATGAACACTCGAAAAAGGCCGAGTTTCCTGCTTTTTGCCTAATCGAGCTATGCCCTACCCATCGTCTTCAGACAACCCTCTCAGCTCTTCGCCCACCGCCCTTATGCTTGCCTAATCGATTCACCGCACTTCACTGCTGTAGCCCACAGCGATCGCGCTTCGCAGACCTTTCGTACCCAAAATACAGCGTAATTAAGACGAGGAAAAACCCTCCTCAAAGATGATGCTTCTGCGATGTGCTTTGAAATAATTAAATGTAACACCCTCTTTTATTTAGTCTTAAAATTGATCGTTGACTTCGTTGCCTAACTTGTTATATGTAAATTATCCATCGTGACCGACAATTAATTGGTTGCTCCGCGACAATCGGTCAAAAAATTTGTCTCCATGTCAATCTGCATTTATTTTTCTCAGAGACACGTATATGACGACCACATGTACATTTTCATTTGACGATTTGGATAATTTCGAGGCCTTTTCATCAAGACTTGTTGCAGCCTTTTCAGGTGGATATATTAATTTATTCATTGGCGATCCAACTTGCTATTGGTCAGTTTGTTCGCTGATATATTTGCCGTTAACGGTGCTGGCCTTTCTAAGAGAGCAACCAACTCGTCTACTCGACAGAAAACCGTTTTAAGTGTCTCTTTTTTGCCTCTTGGGGGTTTCCATGCCTCTTCTAAGGAAAGACTGAAACAGTTAGTGCGGCGAAGACTTGTGACTTTTCGATGAAGGACGACGAAATGGTGAAAGCGCACTGCCGTGAACAATGCAAGTGGATCCTTCTTTTAATTTGGTGATCTTAGGCTGATCGACATCTGCCGGATATTTGGTCATATTTAACGTAGAAATTATAATGGTGAGTCATTTAGGTAATTCCACGGCACGATCTAGAATTGTAAAGTAGAGTTCGCACAGAATTTCCGACAAATATTGTCTTCGAATTCTTTGTTTATCGCTGCGATCCTATAAATGGCGCGCTCTTTGTTTATTATGTACAATATTCCTGTCTCGTTAAATTGCACTTTTACATGTAATTTTGAACCAGGATTTGCATAATTCAGCCACTGCTTAATCAAACCATTGACCGGATGGTGCTAGGTGTTTTTTTCCAAACTGAGTGCGACGAGTGTTATTTTCGTCGTTGAACGAAATACTGTAAGCGTTCGATACGGGTTCAATGGTAGAATTATGCAGTTCATAAGGATTGCGGGCGATGATGCAGAGAGGAGTAAGAAATACAAGCGTCCTCTTAAGGTACAAAAAATTGCAGCTGTTTTATTTATGTTTTGTGTGTGGCTTTCTCATAAGTGCCTCTGTGCTGGAGTCTATGAAAGAATCGGGATTATTTATTTAAAATTCCGATTCCCTTTAAGAGATGTCTCTATCAGCGTTTTCTGCGGTGTGCAGAAGCCATGATCAGTTTATCCATTGAACTCTTGTTAACATTTTAACTAATCGCGGTAGTAGGAGTATTTTTCGGTGGCGTGGAAACACGCAATGAGACGACAAAAATTCGGGTCTTTAAAAGACCACTTCAGTAGGAATTGTGCGCTAATAATTCAGTAAAATCTTAACCTAGAGTTGTGGCGAGTTTGTAAGATACTCCTGTTAAATATTCTTTTTTTATAATTTGAATTTCCTGATCAAGTTAAACATCTACGCCTCTTTGCACCTGGCTTTCAGGAACTTTTTAATAAGCTTTGGGTGTGAATTATAAAAAAGCAATTCCATTTTAATTTACACTATTGTTTTGGAAGATCGAAACTGTTTACCAAAATTTGCTCAGGTGAATCCTGCAGTCCCAATAACAGTGATTTTCATTTCGTTGAACAGTAGGGTTTTTCCTTTTTTTTGCGTGTTTGACCTAAAAAGTTTTCATATAATTTTTACGTAGATGAACATTGTAGTTTAGTCTCAGATGTCGAGGTATCATGTACACTTTGTTTTAACTTTCTGCTTGTGCAAATATTATCACTGATTCAGTATGCTTATTTCATATCTAAAAACTTATGAGCAAACGACTGGAGTTCCTATCAACAAAAGCTCAACTGGGTTTATTCATCAGGTTCTAGAGGTTTTTAAGTATTTGTTTTTATAAAATTGAAATTCCAGATTGTCAGGACTCTTTGGTTGGGGATTAGGGAGCATAACTTCTTGTTGTGGGCTGTTTGTAGAGATTATACATGATGAGCTTCATCACTGAATCAACTTTGTAGCTAGCTTGCAGTCTTAAATGCATTATTGAAACAAAAATTTTATATTTACATTCCAGGGATTAGTTCTAAGACAGCAATGGTTTCTAGGTTAAAAAAAGAAAAACACAATCCATATTATTATATTTTTGGTGAAAAATAATTCACAAGGTATTTAGGCACTTGCAAGCAGGTATGACATATTTTAAAGGGATTTTGCAGAATTAGTGATGACCAGATACAACAGAGCACTCAAGTTTTATAGGAGTCATTGGTGATGCACCTCAAAAAGGGAACAGCTAAATTGGAATTTATTAGCATATAGCATAAACATACAAATTTTTTTTTTAATTTCAGAATCACTTGAAATTTCTGAACAACGTCTGATACTCTCAAGAATTTGAAAGAACTTCTCAAAAGATATTCCGTCAACATTTTCAGTTGATGGGCATAATTAGCTAGAGAATAGTTTTGTTTGCTAAAAAAATTTCTATTTAGCTTTTTCCTTTTTTTTTTCTTTGCTTTGACCATTTCATTGCAATGAGGTGCATGGTCAAAAAAGAAAAAGATAAATGTGAGATTATCATGAGCCTTTTGACAGGCAGTGGACAGGGGGTCTGTAAGATTTTTTTAGGGGCAAACCACCATTAAGTGTGTGCCTCACCAGGAGTTTTTATCTTAGCATATCAACAAACTTCTATTCATGCAAGGAGAAGTACTGGCAAAGAGAGTATCTAGCACCAGAGGGTAGATTCCTCAGATTTGCATGTTTCCCCAAAACTGAATGATGAGAAGTGTACATATGAGGGGGTCATTGTACCCCCTCAAAAATAAGAGGAGTCACAGTCACTCCAGGGCATCCTTTAGCTTGTCATCCCTGTTCAACCAAAATGTTACAGTGAGTATGTTATTAGCACTGGATTCATAACAGGATTTTGACACATAATGACACTGTGCTTGATTCATTTTAGTCTGAAAAGAGCAGTCAAAACCACACTGAAGAAGAAGACAAAATTTGGCCTGAGGATGCAGCACCGCCCAGCTATGACTCACTGTTTGGGCAAATCAAAGAAGCTAAGGAGACTTCTGATGGTTCATTTGATTTCTGCAAACGAGTTGTACAGCTCTTTGCTGGAACAAGTAAGTTAAAAGAGCTCTCAAGAGCTGTGCATTTCAGATTTCTGAAGCTGAAGCCTCCAGGCACCTAGGGATTCCCTTAAGAACACTGGTATTTATAATAGTGCAGTACTCAAAGTTTTGTTTACATAAGAAAGGTATTTGATTGAAAAGATACTTAATTTCAATTGTTGATCTTGGGAGTTTAATGTGGATCCTTATCATCAGTCCTCAAGAATTTACTGTGATCAACAAAGCCTAATCATCTAAAATCTTTACTTTTTTTGGCAAATGGTATCTTTAAGAAGCTTAAGTACTTTGAGGATCCAGAAAATCCTTGAAAATTTCAAAAAGTTTTGAAGGCCCCTTTGATCTTTTTGGTGTTTTAGAGATTAGATTTAGATTATATGTCAGTCAACTTAGCTGAAAATTGTCCATAGTTTACAGTTGGCTGCACCATTGCTTTTATTTTATTGATGGCACTTCCAAATTGCCATGGTCTTGCCTTGTCTTCTGAAGGTTCATATGATTACATTTTGACTTAACTGAAAATTGTCCATAATTTACAGTTGGCTGCACCATTGCCTTGAGTTTATTGATGGCACTTCCAATTGCCATGGTCATTATGGGTGAGTAACAAAACAAAAATGATTTAAATTTCTTCTGTGCATGGCTTGAGTTATGGTCAAATGATCCCTGGAAAATGAAGTTTCCTTACAATTAAATGAAATAAATTTGATCTTTATTTGAACGTGTCTGATATGTGATCATCATAACAAAATGATTCCCAGCGATGATTATTGTAATCAAAGGAATTGCAGATAAAAGGCTGTAAAAGTTCATGCTTTGATAGGATTTGATCCTGTGCCCTCTAGATACTATTTGAGTGCTCAAAGTTGTTGTTGTTGTTTTTTTTTTAAGTGAACGTAGCTAGTAAGGGTAGAATATTACAAGGTGTTGTTGATTTTTTTCTTATTTGATAGGTGCTAAGTATAAGGATGATTGTCCTGTGGAACCCTTCATTCCAATTTACCTCATTGTGGGAGGATCATTTGGAATGTTGAAAACCATTATAGTCCTTTGTCAACGAGCCAGGACTCATGAAGATGACTTGGACATGGATGAAGATCAATCCATGTCCACAAAATTTATTGACGGCGTTTTAAATCTATTCTTGTTCACATGGTTTATTGCCGGAAACATCTGGGTATACAGCAAGTACCAACCAAATCCAACTCCGCCACCAGGCGATCCACTAAACTATTGCAATCCAACACTTTATTTGTTTGCATTTTGGGTGATCACAGCCAGTTATATACTGATGGGCTCAATTTGTTTCTGTATATGTTGTCTAGGAGTGTGTGCAAGCTGTACAGCATTCTTTGTTACCGCAAAAGAGTGAGATATTTAAGATGTTTTGAGGACAGGTTGTTGTTATTTAAGGATCAGAGAGATAGGATAAGTTGGGAAGACAAGGAATGCCATTTTCTAGTGTTTTTCTGGCATAAGAAAAAAAATGTAAAGCTTCTAGTTTTGGTGCAGTAATATTTAAGGTTGACAACCACATTGTTTAGGTAAGAACTTTATTAAAGAGCAAGCGCATTAAACTTGCTAATACAGGAAAAGAAATTACTTCATATTACTACAAATTGACTGAAAATCTGGTTTAAAACTGAAAGTTATGTAGGTTTTATTTAAACAGGGTTGTCAAAAGGATTTTGAGTGACCAGACTGTGGTACAAAGTAGGTGGTACTAAACAGTTTTAATTCCATACTAAAATTTTACTCCCCACCCTTCCATGGCTAATGTTTTTTTTTAGAGTTAAAGGTGGATTGCACTGGTTGCCAGCTTATTTTGACAACCCTGTTAATATGTTTGTATGCTCGATATGGTCTTAATGGGATGCACAAGGCTCCCTGTTGGTAAATACTCTTATACAAACCATTCATGCAATTAATAGATTAAGTTCAGCATAAATTGGAAGCATCTTTTGAGGGAATGCAAGTCAGTGTTGTAAACTCTTGATCATTCACCAAGCTGTTTTGTTTGATTTAGTGTAATAGTGGATTTAGAGTGGAAGTCGGTTAGTCCTTCGCCATAGCAGAAATCTAATCATCTCCCACTTCCTTCCTCCTGAAAAAATACCAAGCACACTCTCACCTAGAAAACACACTAGCATACAGAGCCTATAAAAGTTAGTGAATGGAAGTCAAAAAGCATGGGACACAATTTTGATATGGTAGTTTATAGTTATTTCTGGTTGATGTGTGAGTAAATTTGCATTTTCCACCCATTCTCCCACTAACATTGCATTATTTGATACTGCTTAGATGGTAGGCTTGAGTATCAGTAGTGTTTCATGGGTCTGTCTTCTCGTGCCCCTTCTTCTCTAGGTCGAGAGGAAGGGCAGAGACCCCAGAGAAGAGTTTTGTTGGGGCATTTGAAGCACCGCACAAAACTAGGATTCAAAAAATAACCTTGACAACTTGCACCTGGTCATCTGAATAAGTTAATGCACTGAGTTTGAATAACAAGTTTCATAGCTTGTATTTAGTAGGATTCAGAAATTGATATGCCAGAGCGAGGTCTCTAATGCAGTTGTTTGGTCTTGTGACACAATCCCTCTCTCTTGGGGGGGGGGGGGGGGGGGGGGGGGGGGGGGGGGGGGAGGGAGGTGTTGTTATTAGGAAAAGTTATTATAAAGTATTATCGTTATGTTATGATACTATGGATTTATAACTAAATTATGTAGCCATTGTGGCTAACAGGGTTATGGTTGGGTGGTTAAAAATGGCAATAGGATGAGATACACTTAACGTTAAAATATTTTGTAATATCTTAAAGTTATTCAGAGAGTGAAAGGAAAAATTCTGTGTTTTGTTGTCGTTGTTGTAAACAAAGATGAGGGTTCAGTTGGTTCCCAAGTAAAGAATTGTAGAAATTTTTCGCTAGCCTCACGCGTGAGTGAGGTGAAAGGGATCTTGTGGTCTAATTTGCCACTCGAGCGGGAATGATGGGCTAATCTCGTTGTTTGCTTCGCAAAAAGAAAACGCATATGAAACTCACTGTGGTTTTATTTATTTAATCGTATTATAGGGGTGAGGATGTTGTATGTTCCATTGCAGCTAAAAAAATTATTGAAAACTTTAATCTTGTTCAAACAGAGTAAAAGCTATACTCTTCGCGGGAAGACAGCGGGAAAGCACGAGTGAACTAGGAAAGCCAATCAGATTACGCTTCATCTTTAGTCATTGGATAATTTTTTCCCAAAATATAATTCGCTTTCGATTAATCATAGTGATTCATGCTTGTGAAGTATAATGTGCTTGTGAGAAAGGAGAAACAATTCGGGAATTTCGATTTTCAAGGAGATATTCCGATCTTTTCCGTAGTTAGACGTACGATGTTGCCATGTGTCTCCGGTTTAGGGTTTCCTTTTTCCCTACTTTACAAGATCCTTGTTCTAACTTGATAATTTGGAATGCTGCATTGTGACATGACCAGTTTCTCGAGAAATGTCGAGCGCCTCTCTGCGAATTAACTAGTTTTAAAGTCAGGACCAAAGTCGTCACAATGACCAATCTGGGCAAAGAAAAATGCGCACTACTTCAAGCGTAGGAAAGCTTGAGCGATAAAGTTTGGATTGGTTTTTAGCTTTGGATCTGATTAGTTGAGAGAATGGTGCTAGTTTTTTTTTTTTGGACCAATCATCTAGCGAGGTAAGTTACTTTCGACATTCAATTAAAGTTTGCTTTATGAACTTCGGAAATCGTTGGCAAAATCATGTCGAGAGACAAACTTGAAAAAGCTTATATACCTCAATGATATATAGACTAAATAAATAACCTGCAATTATATATAGCACAAGTCAAAAAGTTCTATTTCATAATACTGTGAATAAACTCTTGAGTGAGAGTCGATTAATATCTAAATAATTCCTCACCGAAGAATGTCAGTATTGGTTTTTAAGTGTCTCTTTCTTGTTACACCTTTGTTATTTATTTATTTCTCCAAAAGACTGATTGCTTCACGCCCCCTTAAACTTAATTACCATAAAAGAAAATTTCTTGCTGTGTCGAGTACCCTGTCTAATGAAACTAACTTGCATTTGAATTTTAGGAGAGCAGCACTTAAAAAGTACAGACTGAAATTTCTCCTAATTATTCATGCAATTCCTCACAGCTTTTCATATGTTGAATAAATTGTATCTTCTTAAAGCAAAGGAGATCAAGATGTAAAGTATTTTACATGAGAATGCGTATTTTGATAATGAATGATCATCGAAGCTTTTCCATATTTTCGCACCTGTTTTTTGGGAATTCTTCACCTATTTGACATTTCAAAATTAAGTTACCTTCAAAGAGCGACGGTTGGAAGAGAGAAATGACAGCTTGTCTTCACAAAATTGAACCCCTTCGGCTCGGCCTTTCACATTCACAGACACAGGAGCGGGGCTGGAAATTTCCGTCGAGCTTCGATCACAGACTCTTGCGTGCGTGCTGCTTTTAAAGGTGAGGGGGATTCGGATATGAGAATACTTAAATATGTACTGCAATATTGTCTACAGTTGGTCTGACTTTGTAATAATCATTTTCAGTTAAAGATCACCATAAAACAACCAAATTCCAAAACACTTGTCTCTAAAGTCTTCGTTTGCAAGTAAACCAAAGACGTACCGCTGTGCTGATTCATGAACCCACCTTTGCATTGTCTCGTATGTTCGCATATTTGACTTAAAATTCAAACACGCGATTATTAGAAACTGGTTATCTTAACTGCATTTCGTTTCAGAGCATTTTATTTATTACGATATCGTTGAAAGCTTAAATTACAAAAAAATATATAGATATTTGAGCTGATAAACAATGCAAGCGTTATGTTGAATGTTGGTTTGATCTCTGAAATTTCTAAGAAAGGAATTGATTAAAAGAAATTTTCATGTGCGGTTAACAAATATAGCGTACGGCAATTAATTATTAACCATGATGAAGCTTATTTTCACAGCTAACGTAATTTTTAATGAATGATGCAAAGAGGCTGAAAGGAAGATAATATAGCTCTGCAATCAGAAAATAGCCGCTCTGTTTCCTAAAGATTTATTTCGTGCGGAGATGTTGATTATTATGATGACTTCACATGTGTTCGTGTGAAATCTAAAACATATTTTCAAGCAGCTTTTTTGCGTGGGTAGTGAAACTCAAAACTGGAATAATTAGAATTCAAAGTTGGCAAGTTTTATTTATTAAATTCTCGTTTATATCTCAGAAATTCAAAATAAAAGTGTTGGTTTTGTCACTTGTAATTCAGAAGAATTTCCTCCTTTTGCTCTTGAAAAAACTTGAATTAATTTTAACCCTAAGCGTTTTTAAAGATTTTTCAACAGAAAAGAAAATTTTTATACTTGTCGCCAGGCGTTTTTTAATTGCGATGAGATTTCTGCGCGGGGAAAAAAACACCTAAATTATTACAAAGACAGCCAACGGACCGCTAAGGAAGGAAACGAACTAAATAAATCTCAATCCACCAATCAAAATACAGAAACATTGCTTAGGCCGCGCGCGAGCGATGAAAAACAGACCATCTGTTTTCGGGATTATTTTTGTTTAGTCTTATTCCGCTCTGTGATTGGTCAAGAAAACTTGCGCCACCCTTTCAACCAATCAGGTTCAATACTAAAACCAATAAAAACTTCGACACTCTTGTTTTCCCGCGCTTTACGCAGTTCGCTTGCTTCAGCCTATATGTTATTTAATTTTTTGGTTTTCGCTTTTTTTCCTTCAGATCATGTCCTCAGTGGCTCTCGACATTATCGCTGAGACCAAAAGGCGTAGTCTAAACAGGGACATCAAACCGGACTCGCCAATTAGAGGCAAGATTGGAAAGTGTACGATTCACCACGAGTCAGAATTTAAAGCGCTCTGGGACTGGTTTGTCCTCGCTCTGGTGCTTTACATTTCAATTGAAATCCCATATGAAGCGGCATTCTTCCAGAAGGAAGCGCGAAGTAAAGGAGTATGGGAAAAAATTTCCTCGGGGGAGCCCCGTGAGGTGGTGAACCTTTTGGTCGACTTAATGTTCATCGCTGACATACTGATAAATTTCCGGACGACTTACGTGGACACAGCATCCGCAGTAGTGATCAGCGCACCCAAGAGGATCGCGGTTCATTATCTAAAGACTTGGTTTACGATAGATTTTGTGTCCGCCATACCATTTGATTATTTCATTCCGGACGAGTTTGAAGGGGTATGGAAACTAATTAACAAAGCGCTCCACTTTAACTGGGAAAACTGGCTCTAGTTGTGAGAGTCTGTCTATTAATCTTGCTGTATTTTTGTTCCTACTCTGTGAAAAAGTCCTTCCTCATAGCAACAAAAATTAAACTTCAGTTTGCGCTGAAGTTTGGACGGTAATACGATGATATTGTTTCTGATCGCTCACCGACAGATTATTGACTGTCTGACGCCTGTTGGCTGACGGGTGTGCTTAAAACTGTCGGCCGACAGGTTTTTTCAGGGAGTTGTTCTCCATAATTTTACAAATGCAATTACATTGAGCCACATCAATAACTAGAGCTCTTCAAAATGTCGCAACTGCTCTATATCTCAATTAATTACGATATTTTGAATTTGATCCACAAAGTTTCTGTAATTCGAATTTTGAAAGGAAACATTTCAAAACTAAGTAATGAATCGGTGATTGCGATAAAGCTCTTTATCTTGTCAAAAATAGTGAAGCATAACAACTTAACGAATCTTTTTATTTCCATTGTCTCAGGCTGCTACTGTCGCTGGTCTGTTGAAAACTGCTCGTCTCCTTCGTCTCGTCCGAGTCTCCCGCAAAATGGATCGTTATTCTGAATACGGTTTAGCGGTCGTTTTCCTGCTGACGTCTCTTTTCACTCTTGTTGCCCATTGGCTGGCTTGTATCTGGCACGTAATTGGCAGGGAAGAGATTGGAGTCCCGTATGGTTGGATTCAACTTTTGGCGGGAACATTAAACAAACCGATAAATGAATCATTGCCGGGAAGCGGACCGGGGGCTGGGACCCGATACATCACAGCTTTGTACTTCACGTTAACCAGCCTGACGAGTATCGGATTTGGGAACGTTGCTCCTAACACCGACAATGAAAAAATATTTTCTGTTATAACGATGTTGATAGGAGGTAAGTAAAGTGCGTCTCTTTTTAGTTCCTTTGGCAAAAACGTTTTTCCTCACATAAATTTTGGTTTCCCAATGTAAAATAATGCTCGTCTTGAACAGATAGGATCGTAAGAATTTCAGGCGCCCTACCAAGGGCTTCTATGACCAGCAGACCTGACAGAACGACCAAACTTTATCAACAGATTATATTTGACCAATCTCGATTGAAGAACGCATTTTGACTGGTAGTTAACCCTTACTGCTTAGCTCGGATCCTGTAAAGAAGACTTCTATAACAAATTTATTTTCAATAATGGTTTAGCCATATTTGAATCTGGCTGATATATTTTTTTTAAATAGCTCTATTTTACGCGGTGATCTTTGGAAACTTAACGGCCATCATACAACGTCTTTACTCCCGTTCAGCCCGATATCATGGAGATATGCGAGTCGTTAAGGAATTTATTTCCTTATATAACATACCAGAATCCCTTCAAGGGACCCTCCGAGAATACTTTACCATGGAACAAGCGGCAACTAAAGGGAGTGATATCGAGTCGGTAAGAAGAGGTGCTGGTGTACATTAGTTCGAGGTTTATATATATGTTTTTGCTAAAAACTCACGGGGCCTTGCTTAGGGGAATTCTTTGAGGTCGTCTTCCTATCTCCCTCAGGGGATCCCCGTGGAAGTTCCGTAAGGTCGTCAGTCGTCAGCATGTTCCGAAGAAGATCTCAGTGTAAGGTTCCCTTGGGTGGTCTTAAACATATTTCCAAGAAGATCTCTTCAAGAAATTCCTTGGGGTCTTCCTTGGCATTTCCTTAAGGGGATCGCATAAACGCATTAGAGACAAAAGAAACTTCCCCGGACAACTTTCACTCCATATTCCCTTCCCTCTCCTAGGGGTCTCTTATACAGTATGACACTTAGAAGGTATCCCGCAAGTGCTTCAAGGAGCAAATCTGGTAGTCTCGTCTCTCTCTCTCTCTTAGATTTTTGATAGACGAAAAAATTTTCCCTATAATAGCCTCCGATCTCATTTATTATCTTCTGCCATCAGATCATGTACCGCTTTCCTGAATCACTTCAAGCCGACATTAGAGTTCACATAAACCGCCAGGTGTTTGAAGAATTTGAGATTTTTCGTGGAGCAAGTGAAGGCAGTCTCCGCGCTCTCGCGAAGGCATTTCGTGTCGAGATGTTTCCTCAACATCACTTCCTGTTGAAGGAAGGCGACCAGGTCACTAAGCTCTATTTCATTGTGTCCGGCACTGTGGATGCCATACAGAGTCAACAAAGTATGAAGTTTCTGGGTAAGGACGGATGGTCACCGGTTTCAATTCAGTGTTAGGGTTCGATAGGCAGTGTCAAATTTTATCCGTAGGATTCAGAGAATTTCCCGAACAAAAACAACTTATGATCGGTTAACGCGGTTCCTAACAAACTCACAACATTTAAACTCGTTTGTCTTTTCTCAAAAATTCAAAGAAACTAACTGGCGTCTCGTTCTTTAGGTCCGGGAGAGATTGTTGGTTGTAACGTGACATCGTTTCAAAGAAGGCCTGGTCACTCTTTTAAATCCAAAGCTAACCTTGTCTCCAAGGTTAATTCCCAGGTCCATCTCATCGAATGGCAGGATCTTCTGCGAATCACAAGAGTGTATCCTGAAATCGGGGAACGCGTTATGGAACAGATGGAGCTATCCTATGACCTGGATTCTACAGAAATGGTAAGAAAACAAAAAATTGAAAAAAGTATCGCCTTGGATAAAACAAGGACGACAAAACCACTGCTAACCCTGCGGCGGGTTTTGCACGTGACAAAAATATTCTGCAAACTGACTACCTTCTAGCGTCGTTATACAACCTTTAGTTCTTTTACAAAATTGTGCTCTATCAGAAGCCACATGCAGTCTTAGACTGTTTTTTTTTTATTCTACTTGACGCTCCAAAGCGCCAGTCGCGTAACAAGTTTCTATGTTGTACCTGCTTCACGATCGGTCAGTATCTCCAAGTTTCAACCCTTTCTCTGTTTTCCGATTGATTTGTAACGCACAGGAATATAGAGATTCCAGGGCAGGAGATCGAAAACAAGACTGCATCGACTTAATCCAAATGCCCGCCGATGAAAACAGTGCTCAAGTTTTAGCTCTCCGACGACGAAGGTCACGGTCTAATACTGTGGAAGAATACTCCAACACAAGCGACCGCACATCAAGTGAATATCAGATCAACAGAGGGCTGTTTACCACCAATACAGATGTACAGCAATTAGAAGCAAGGCTAGGACATATAGAAGATTTATTGATCAAAATTGCCAAGTCCTTAAACATAAAAGACGGCGTGATACCTAAAAGCCAATCAACTAATGACTTGTTTGCTAGTACTTCGTACGTGTAACTAGGTTCCCTAAGGGACCAGTTATAATTTATTCATTGGGGGATGGCTTGGGGTCAGAGGAAATGAGGGGATCATGGGTCACATGGCTTTCGTGGGAAACGGAAGGGGAATCAGTCGTCGTTAACAGAGTATGAAGGCGGGCGGGGACTATAGAAAATTATTGCCAATGAGGTTGAACTATAGGAATACTAAAGAGCCTTAGGGGGAGATTAGGTGATTTTTTTTTTTTTCTTTTTTTTTTTACGTGACGCAACCAAAATCCCCTCCCCCACCCCTGATGCAATGAATAACGACTACACGTACAAGTTACTTACTTGGTTACTTAGTCTCACACGTTACAAATTTGATGTGTGTAAAAATCACACCATATTGAAATACTAATGAATTTTGATTGTACTATGACCGTTTTTGTCGACCATTAAGTCAATTTTTTATGATACTTTCCTTTTCTGAGGAAGGAAACATAGAGAGATAAACGAAAGGCAACCTGAAAATCTAGTCCAAATATTTCTTCTTTCTCAAAATCGGCTCTGTATAGTTTTCAAAACTGAAAGATTGTATAAACGCCTCTTTTATAAGTGTAAAATCAACTTAGCAGCTGGACTCAATGAACACCTACTAAGTAGGGACCTTTTTCAGCAGTGACGGCGATGTAACTTACGTGTAGCCGTACCCTCCCTCCCAAGGTGAAACGTTACCTCGCCTCCGTTTCATCTTGGGGGAGGAGAGGGTACGGCGACACGTAAGCTAACGGCGATGGCAACGAGGACGAGGCAAAACAAATGGTCTTTTGCGTAGAACAATGGCTCAGCGCGTAGGAACATTTTTTGGCCTTCCTCAGCAAATCCCCATAATTTGCGTGGTCTTCGAAGGGGAAATCTCTACGACAAATTATTTAAGTTTCCTACACCTACTCTGGTTGGTGATGCTAAAGCTGAGGTGTAGTACCGTAAGAGACTGCAAACACACGCAACCGTTTGCAAAATTGTGAATTAAAATACAATTTAATTTTTTAAACAACGTCTACCTCAGCGTTTCGGTCTTGATAGCTAAAGGTCCCTATTGATGATTCAGTCTTACGACCTCTTTTTACTCACACGACATATATTCCTATTATATCGAACAACTACTTGTTTAACTAAATAGTTAGCTTTTCTCCTGCTTTTTATGCGTGCTACAGGTATATAATAGTACACACGATGCAATAAACTTGCTTATATTATAGATCAGAACAACGCCTCATGACTTGATCAGTCGTAAAGAGGGGAAAACATGGTATATGTATCTTTATTCGTTATAGTTTTTGAGACTTCAAGATGCCTCCCCAAAGATACGAAATAAAACGCATTCTTTCTCTCATTGCAAGCTTCGAAGCTGCTTGTTAACCCAAGTTTCGCAAGGGGTACTGAAACATGTTTACATTGTAAACGAACCTGGACATATTCAGAGCAGGTTATAGGTTTTTAATCCGACTGAATGAGCTTTGATTGATAGAACAATCTTGCATAGCCGTGCGGCACTTTTCTCACTTGGTCAAAAAGATTTCTGAGTGGGAAGCGGTGACTGCTGCTGTGGTGAACTCTCACGCTCAAAGATTTGCATAGTCTCTAACAAATTCCGCAGACTGGAACTTGATCCTGGAATGCAAACAGATAACAGTGTTTTCATAAGATTACACAGTCCACACACGCTCTCGACTTGTAGGAATAATCCATTTTAAATCTTAAATCGATTCGTAACCTATGAACCGTTTATCAAGAATTTTTCCGGTTTGTTATTTGTGCCCTCAAAGTTTTCAAATGCATGTTATCTTGTTCTGCTCGCTCCTGAGATTCTAAAAAACTTCGTACCTTGGCATGACGTTGACATAACAAAAGAAGGCAAACATTACAGGACAGATATGACGAATCGTTCTTTATTCATAGTACACTCTCGTTGAAATTATGGCAACTGAAACAGACTAGTATCCTCTAAAAAACTTAACCTTTGTTCAAGTGTGATCCGATGAAAAATGTTTTCACCCTTTTTTTCTAGATCATCGGCCTAAATTACTAACATATGTACTTGGAAAAATATTTTGTCTTCACAGAAGGTCTGAATCATCACGTACGGATTAGGGTTGGATTGGCACGATGTATGTAAATTATCGAGCCGACCGCGGGCCAGAGACAACACACAAACTATTTTAAGAGTCACTTCAACATCTGATTGCTCATGCATTTCCTACGTAAACACAGAGCTTTTAGCCCTCAAGAAGTTTTAAATGTTTTGTAGCCATCTAGCAGTGAAGACGGTTTCCGTTCATGAACGCGTGGCGTGGTGGAATTCAAAACCGTGGAGTGGCGTTGAAAATTTCGGACGCTGGAAAGTTTCGGTGGGACAACAGCGCGAACGCAGTTTTTCTCTTCAAGGGAACATGAACTACTTTTGGAAATCTGTTCGCGCCGTGAGCTTCTTGCTTGCGTGTTTTGCTGCCAATTTTCCAATGTTGGATGCCACGAAGACACTATACATAGGAGGTTTATTTCCAATGAGTGGTTCCTCTGTAGCTTCGGCAGGAAAAATATTTCTTCCTGTAAGCGAACTGGCAATTGATATGGTGAACAACCGCACCGATTTGTTAAACGGTTACCAATTGCAGCTCATATGGAATGATACACAGGTATCCAAAATCATTTTTTTCTGTCTGTTGGTTACATCTCAGAGTATAGTCACTAAAACTCAAATTATTTGGTTTCTTAACAACTTCACTAGTAGTGAGTTTCATTACAACTTCATCATTTGCGCGACATTTTCAGACACAGGCAAAACCATTTTCAATACCTTGAGTACTGTGGGAAGTTTAGGTTGACCTTTGATGACATGTCGCATTACAACGCTGACAGCCTATGTGTAAGGGATAAGTTAAATACTTCAAAATTATATTGTGTCCTGTCTCTCTCAAAATCGCTTCTCTCCACAATCATTTCCCCCCCTTGCGAAAAATGGCCGTTGAACATTCAAACTGTTTTCGTTTTGAAATCGACGCGTTCTTTGATCGAAAAAAATTCCTTTGGTTACGCACACGAAAATAAACGACTCAGCTATTATTCTATTTAAAATGAAATTTAGCTCCCAAAATGATGCAATATACAACCTTAACAAAGGAACAATAGGGAAATGATATCTAGAGCGTAATTATCTTAAAAGTGTTTGGATCAAAATTAGTGTAGACTTGAACAGATTTTCGTTGTCATGGCCTGGAAGAATCTATATCGTTAACTGCACTTCAAAGTCAACAATGGCCTATTAAAACTCTCAGAAATAACTTCCGAAGGGAACGAAAAGTCAGTATTCAGTACTACTGAAATGTTTTACTTTACGAAACTTTGTTTGAAAACATTTCAGGCATTGAATTCTTATGTTAGACGAAATATTTTATTCTTTTTGTTAACAGAACGTGGCTGTAACATTTGTTTGCGGCAAACGCTTCTTGAATATCACTTCCGCTAGATTGCCTTGCATTTTTCGAGAGCTTTTCGAAAACCACGTCAAAATATGCCGGCTTTTCCTGACGCCCTTCACATTCATTATGGTTTCATATTGACCAAAAATTTTGTAGTTTGGTTTACAAATTTAGAAAATGAGCGAAGTCTTGTTATGTTGTTTTTCTCCACCACAGAAAGTGAACACTGTTGATATGAGACTGACACTCAGTTGAAATACAATTTTCAATTTCGAATTCCTTTTCAAATCGGTCCAAAAACTTCATTGAGTAGAAGACCATTGTAAATACAGTTCGATTGTTGTTGACATTCTAATGCTCTTGTTCATAGCCGTTTTGGTTAAAAAATTATGGATTATTCCTTCTAAAGCTTGCAATTAAATTCAAGGGAAAATGAGTTTAAAATTTGATATTTCCTCCTCAACAGAGCCATTGAATCAAGCATAAAGGCGAGCGAACAAACGCTTTGTCCTCTTGAAAATCAATGCAGCAATCCAGTTTGGCATGAAAAATTTATTGACCCAATCTTCCATTTTATTCATTCAACTCACGGCTATCGTCTATGTACCCTCGACTATGTGAGCGTCAGAGTTTAACATAATTGATTTTCTCGTCCGCTAATATCTTAAACTTCGACGTCATAACCTTTGTTTGGAAATTATCTAATCGTTATTGCACAAAAGACTCTATTTGAAAGTCTTTCTACACATCAAGTATTGACTTGTTTATCATGATGATATGAGCGCAATCTGTTTTTCATAATTCTTCAGCAATTTGAGCTGCTAAGTCGAATTTCATACCTTTTCAAGGTATTTGTAATTACGTAGCGAAATATCGGGCTCGCTTTTCCATATTTTGTTTATTCGTAGTTATGAAGCAATTTTGACGTTGGAAATATTCTTGTCAAACTTAATTGCTTTCAAAATTAGGATATGACAAAATTTTCGTACTTTAATTGATAACCAAATTACCAGATTGTGAAATGAAGAAACTTTTCTCCGAATGAAATGATTCCCTTGGCAGCCGTTCGCTGAAGTCTGTAATAAGTAATTTCTGGCTTAGTTTTCCGCTCTAGAAAAATTGTTAATGGCTAAACAATTTGGCGAAACAGAATCATCAAGTATTTCATATAATGGTCTCATTCTGTTCCAATAAGGCAAAGTAATTAACAACCATTGACAGAGGATTGTTATCTTTTTACAACATCGATATTTTCAAAATCACGCGATGGTCGAATTTGAATGATTTAGCGCGTTTAAAATTCCCTTTTGTCTTTGCCCTGAGGTGAAAAATAAATTGCAACAATATTCACTACACTTACCACAACTTGACCCCCAAATCTCTTGTTATGAAAATGAGATTCAATTTATTTTTTTTGGCACGAGTTGACCCGTGTTACCCCACTGGAGAGCAGTCTCCCGTGTTGTGATGTACGTAATATTTACGAAATGCGTCATCTCCCACTGTTACCTAGTTGCAATCAGCTCTTCAGTCAATTTATCAAGTTTCATTATCGGTTTCTCTGATCGGATGTCTAGAAGATCAAAACTTGCAGGAGGTAAATCCATTTCATAATTTGCCTGAAGCATTTTCCCATTTGTCGTGAAATCAAAGCCAAAGTAGAAAAAGCAGTCTTTGAGGAAAGCGGTAACTATCACGAGCAAACTTCCCAAAGCGCGGGGAAACGCGTGTGACCAAGTTGCGATTGGTTTTAGTTTTGTATCTGATTGGTTGAGAAGGAAGCGCGAGTTTACCGGACCAATATGAAATTTCTTACAACTCTGTGTGAGTCTGGTGAAAAAGGAGAGTATTACGGTTCTTAACGTTATTTCATTTCAGAGCTGGCAATACATCTTGTTTCATGCAACTTAAAAAGCTATGAGGCTGGTAGGAAACGATAGGAAAGTCTCAAAAGCGTGTTGCTGCCCCCTTCTGACCCGGGTTTTGAGTGGTGGTCAGTGGTGGTCAGAAATGGATGATACTTATACGATTCTAAAATTTGTTTTATTTTCTGACTAATTCACGGCAGTGTGACCCAGGACATGCGACAAACGCGCTGTTTGAGTCCCTTCACACCAGGCCCCCAATGATAATGCTCCTAGGGGCTGCTTGTTCATCAGTGACCCGAGCCACCGCACAGATCGGCAAGCTCTGGAATCTTGTACAGGTAAATAGTAAATTATTTAACTCTGGTATTTTCTTAAAAGTGAATTCATGGAAATTTTGTTTTAGAGAGGAATATGCCAGATAGCTTGTACAAATAACAACGATTATGCCTGAAATAATTCCTCATAAAATGTAGAGGTAAATTTCGACGAATTAACTCTTAAATGTTGAGGTGCATTTGCTAAATCTAAGAAGGTATTTGCTAAATCTATCAAGGTATCAGAACTATCTTCTTCTGGAATCTCTACCGAAGAGAAACACAACAAAGCCGTGTTTGGCATTCACAAGAAGGAGATTCCAGCTGTTGTTTTGTGAAGAGGAACGCTATTTTTTTAATAATTACTCTGAGGTCGTGCACGTGTAAGCGTTGTTCTGCGAATGACAATTTGTTTACTATTCCAAGCCATACTCCCATAGACTATTCATTGTCATTGTGGTTTTTTTTCTTTTTCATCCAAGCACTGCATGTACAATGAGGTAAGGGGTTATACGGAAATCTTGCCATTTTTATCCTGGATAGAAGCGATCTCTGGTTTGCCGAAACATTGAAGCTCTAGCTTAGAGTCGTGACCCTTTAACTCTTTAACTCCTATGAGTGACCGAGAGATAATTTCTCCTTACCGTGTCGATACAATATCAAGTAGACAAGTGATGAGAATAAAGAAAAAGATCAATAAAGGGATTACGATTTGATCAAATATCAAATTCTCTGACCTAACATCGTAATAATTGTATGGCAAACAATAAGGAGAATTACTAATGAGATCTTGGGAGTGAAAGGGTTAAACGTGTGAATGCAAAGCTGCGTGGTTTAGAAAATAGTGTAACAAGACAAAGCGTGATTAGGAACAGTCGCCAGTCCTCACGTCTTATTTTGATTGACAGGTGTCATATGCCTCTACTGCCAGCGATCTATCCAATAAGGAGAAGTATCCCATGCTATACAACATTGTACCACCTGACTCTGCATATAACAACGCAAGGATAGCTTTCTTAAAGCACTTCAAGTGGAAGAGAATTGCTACTATTCGACAAAATAGTTACGTCTTTGATGAGGTGACGTATCGATCAAATAGCGACATATGGTAACATTTGAGTGAAACAAAAAGGTCAAGAATAAATTAATACATTGGTATTTGAGAGACTGACAAGGAGAGTTTAAACGACAGTTAAGAGTCTCGTCGGTTCGTGAGCGTTTCCTTCATTCTCATGACTTTAATTTTTGATTCAACAGTGATGATGTAAGGAGAAATTAGATGCTGGTCACTCGAAGGGGTTTGGAGGGGGGGAGGGGAGGTAGCGTGATAAGGGTGGGAATTTAAGCGCCTAAATTCTCAAATATCCAGCCTAAGTGAGGACCAGAGGAAAGTAAAATTTACTATGGTAGATTCATGTTAGGACTTTGCGTTTTCATGGTTTACACTATGCACTTCACGTTGAAAGTGTTAAAATTAAAATACTTTCTTTCAGGTTATGGACATGCTCCAAGAAGATCTTATAAACAATAACTTCGATCTTATAGCCACAGAACTGTTTAATGACGATCCTAAGATTCAGGTTGAAAATCTGAAGGTAAGGTTTCATGAAAAGAAATCGAGAGTTACTTAGCTACGATTAATTCATGAGAAGTTTTCATTGAATGTGTATTAACGTCAACAGAAGAGAGACGCCCGCATCATTGTTGGGATGTTCTACGAAGACAAGGCTCGGAGGGTTTTTTGCGAGGTGCAGTATTCAATTACCACGCGATTCTTTGTTATATGCATGCTTTCTGCTGATATCATCCCTCAAATGTTGCATGATATTGGCGATTCATGCAACATGCACGGCACAACATTTTAATTCACAAAGTAGCTTGTTGGAACGATAGGCAGAAAGGATTTGTAACTTGTGTGTCCTTACCTTTAGTGGCCCCTGTGAGTGTTTTTACCCAAATGTTCTGTATTATTGCCGTTACCTCTAACACGGCAGGCAATCAGACATGGCAGAAGATTTTTAATTTGCAAGGAAACTACTCGGTTGGAAAGCTAAAAGTAAATTGTGAGCTCATGTGTGCTAAAGTGACTTGCTTTACGTCTGCTCTTAACAACATGCATGTCACAGGCAGGCTAGTAGAATTAGGGCCGACTCGCGGACTAAACTTCGAGTCACGTTGATCTTTCACCATACCTTGCTTCGTTTTCTTTGGTGTAGGCATACAAACAAGAAATGTACGGAGAGCACTACATGTGGTTGATAATGGACTGGTACGACAACAAACCCTGGTGGCTCGTTAAAGATGATAAAATTGATTGCACAGAAGGACAGATGAGAATGGCGACCGATGGCTACTTTTCCGTTGATAGTGCACGGATTATTTCCAACGAGGAACCCACTATATCAGGAATGGTGAGTTGAATAGCGTGTAAGGGTGAGGGTGTAGCGTCCGCAATCGGACGGAAGTGTCAGAAATCTGACAAAAGCGTCTGAAACCAGAGTGTGACGTCGGAAATCGCACGATAGCGTCCGAAATCAAGATTTTTGACATAACGTGTTGAAAAACGATATAACACTGAACGATTGAGTAACAGACTGACTGACTGACCGACTGACTGACTGACTGACTGACTGAATGAATGAATGAATGACTAACTGATTGTCTTACTGACAGACTAAATGACTGACTAACTGACTGACTTAATGAGTGACTGACTGAATGAATAAATGAATGAATAAATAAACGATTGACTGACTCAATGACTGACCGACTCACTGACTGATTGACTTAATGACTGAGTGACTAATTGATCGATCGATTGGTGTATAATGAAAATTCCACCAACGTTTCAAAATATTAAACGATTTTCTTTACTCTGCAGACCTCCGAGAAATTTCTACAAACCCATGTCAAGCCAAGTGGAAACAACACAGATCTTTATGTTCCCTTCGTGTTTGACTCCATGTGGGCGATTGCTCTCACATTAAACAAGTCTATGAGTGAAATCCGCAAAACCTTGAAAAGATCTCTAGAAGATTTTACCTACCAAGACAGTGGCATGGCGCAAATTTTCAAGCAAACGTTGAAAAACCTGGAATTCCAAGGGATTACGGTAGTGACATGCTAACAATTTTCTCACCGTAACCCTCACCTACCGCGGGCTCTCTTCCCTCGCTTTGAGTTAAAAATGAATGCTCCGTGCTTTTGGCTGAGCCGGAGGCAAGACATATATTCATTCTAGATATCAGCTTCCAATCATAGAAAAATGATTAATCGTCAACCTGAATTTTCGCGGCAGCTCGACTAAAAGGAGGTTATCTGACAGTCCACTGATCAAGAATCAAACTAAATATTTTACCTTTGGGTTTTATAGTATTTATAACGATAAGCAAATTTTCAAGCATTAACGTTTAAATTTGTTTATTTCGTAGGGAAAAGTGACGTTTTCAAGTAAAAGGGAAGGAACGAAGCCCTCATACATAAAACAAATGCAAAGTAAGTTGATTGATTCGATTTAATATTTTAGACACGAGTGGCCGATTTTGGAGTTTGAACCCTAATGGTCGATCTGAGATTTGGACAGTAGCGGCCTTTTTTTGATTTTGGACATTAGTGGCCGATCTTGGAATTTAG